CCAATTTCTCCACATCTTTCTTGAAATGCGGTGCCTAGAACTGAACACAATACTCCAACTGAGGCCTAACCAGCACAGAGTAGAGTGGAAGAATGACTTCTCGTGTCTTGCTCGCAACACACCTGTTAATGCATCCCAGAATCCTGTTTGCTTTCTTTGCAACAGCATCACAGTGATGACTCATATTCAACTTGTGGTCCGCTATAACCCCTAGATCTCTTTCTGCCGTACTCCTTCCCAGACCGTCACTTCCCATTCTGTATGTATGAAACTGATTGTTCCTTCCTAAGTGGAGCACTTTGCATTTCTCTTTATTAAACTTCATCCTATTTACTTCAGACCATTTCTCCAATTTATCCAGGTGATTTTGAATTATGACCCTATCCTCCAGATTAGTTGCAACCCTCCCAGCTTGGTATCATCTGCAAACTTAATAAGCATACTTTCTATAACAATATCTAAATCGTTAATGAAGATATTGAACAGAGCCAGTCCTAAACAGACCCCTGCAGAGCCCCACTTGTTATGCCTTTCCAGCAGGATTGTGAACCATTAATAACTACTCTCTGAGTACGGTTATCCAGCCAGTTATGCACCTACCTTATAGTAGCCCTATCTAAATTGTATTTACCTAGTTTATTGATAAGAATGATTTGTTCTTTACAAATCCATGCTGGCTGTTCCCTATCACCTTGCCACTTTCCAAGTGTTTACAGATGATTTCCTTAATTACTTGCTCCATTATCTTCCCTGGCACAGAAGTTAAACTAACTGGTCTGTAGTTTCCTAGGTTGTTCTTATTTCCCTTTTTATAGATGGGCACTATATTTGCCCTTTTCCAGTCCTCTGGAATCTCTCCTGTCTCTCATGATTTTCTAAAGATGATAGCTAGAAGCTCAGATACCTCCTCTATCCGGTCCTTGAGTATTCTAGGATGTATTTCATCAGGCCCTGGTGACTTGCAGGCATCTAACTTTTCTAGGTGATTTTTAACTCGTTCTTTTTTATTTTACCTTCTAAAACTACCCCCTTCCCACTAGCATTCACTATGTTAGGCATTCCTACAGACTTCTCGGTGAAGACCGAAACAAAGAAGTCATTGAGCATCTCTGCCATTTCCAAGTTTCCTGTTACTGTTTCTCCCTCCTCACTGATCAGTGGGCCTACCCTCTCCTTGGTCTTCCTCTTGCTTCTAATGTATTTATAAAACGTCTTCTTGTTTCCCTTTATTCCCGTAGCAGTTTGAGCTCATTCTGTGCCTTTGCCTTTCTAATCTTGCCCCTGTATTCCTGTGCTGTTTGCCTATATTCATCCTTTGTAATTTGTCCTACTTTCCATTTTTTATATGACTCCTTTTTTATTTTTAGATCGTGCAAGATCTTGTGGTTAAGCCAAGGTGGTCTTTTGCCATATTTTCTATCTTGCCAACACATTGGAATAGCTTGCTTTTGGGCCCTTAACAATATCCCTTTGAAAAACTGCCAAGTCTCCTCAGTTGTTTTTCCCCTCAGTCTCGATTCCCACGGGACCTTACCCATCAGCTCATAGGTAAACCAGCAGTCCAACCACTTTTGACGCCATCTTTCAATGACTTCTGTGCTGTGTGCACTGCCGCCTCAGTGTGTGGGAATGGATCCCCAGCCATTGACGAAAATGCTGATAGGTCTCACTATAACACATCACAATTGGCAGTCAAATTATTCCGGAAGCTGCAAAGCGGCAATGAAGTGTCTGAGCAGCGTTTGTACTACAGGAGATAGCTTTGTGGCATTCATGGAGGTGCTGGCCACAGTGGAATGCTGCATTTGGGCTTGTGTAACAAGCACTGAGTGATAGGATCTCATCAACATGCAAGTCTGAAATGACGAACAGAGACTGTAGAACTTTTGGATGAGGAAATCCACTTTCATGGGACTGTGTGACGAGTTCACCCTCACCCTGAGGTGAAAGGATACAAGAATGTGAGCTGCCCTGTTGGTGGAGAAGCATGTGGTGATTGCACTGTGGAAGCTGGCTTCTCTAGACAGCTTTTGTGTGGTCACCTATCAGTTTGGAGTGGGAAAGGTGACCACTGGACTCGCGCAGATAGAAGTGTGCAGGGCCGTCAAGCGCATCCTGCTCCAAAAGGCCATGACTCTGGGCAATGCACCTGAAATTGTGCTGGGCTTTCCGTGGGTGGGTTTCCCAAACTGTGGTGGGGTGATAGATGGCACGCACATCCAATTCTGGCACCAGTGCATTAACTACCAGGAGTATTTCTCCATGGCTCTACAGGAGTTTGTGGATCACCATGGGCATTTCACAGATATTAATGCAGGCTCGTTCGGAAAGGCTCGCCTTTTTCAGAAAGTTGGCCTGTTCAGGAAGCTGCGAGCAGGGACTTTATCCCTAGACCAGAAGATGTGTGGGAGAAATGGAAATGCCAGCTGTGATCCTTGGGGACCCTGCCTACTCATTAATGCCATAACTTATGAAGCCGTACTTGGGGAGCCTTGACAGCAGCCAAGGATAGTTCAATAACAGGCTGAGCAGTTGCAGAATGAGTGTCTTCTGTGGGCACTTCTGTCCCCTTCTTGGATGCTCTGCAGGAGTTTGCGTTGCCTGAGACTGGCATTCTGAGGCCGGCTCTATCAAGGCCAAAACTGCAACGTATTACAGAAGTTCCATTGTTGACACTAGACACAGCACTACCCCAATTCCTTTCAAATACTTGCACTGTCCACATACCTAGCACTGCCAACTGCAGGTTGTGGACTCAGAATCGCAGTGGTAGTTTGCTTCCCACATCTTGTGGTAGGGGTTTCTCAGCATCTTCACTGCAGTACATCCTGGTCATGGCCCCTTTGGGTCATGCATCTAGACATGTACCTGTAGGTATCATAATTCCTACGGCTGGAGCGCAGCTGCGACTGGGCAGCCTTCACTTTCAAAACACATGAGATCCAGCACCCCAGCATAGCTTCAGGCAGGTGATCTCCTTGTGCATTGAGAAGGTGTGGCCAACTGGAGAGATGTGCTGAGAACATACCATGCGTTGCCAAGCAAACAGGAAGGGGACTTTCAAATTTCAAAAAGAACACAAAGGGCGGGTCTAAGGGTAGGTCACCTGAGAGTAGAGCAGTAAAGTTCGAACAGATGACCTGAGAGGCAAGAACAGGCACTGTGAGAAGGGCACTGGAGGCCAGTCAGGACACAGTACTATACCACAGTATCTACACTGGCACCTCAGTGCCGTATTCAGAGCGCAGCAATCTCTATGCTTCTCACAAAGGTGGCTTACCTAGAGCGCGCTAACTGCAGATCTAGTGCGCACTAAGTGCCTTGCCATTGTGGACGTCACAAAAGTTACAGCACTGGGGGCTGTTTTACTGCACAGCAACTTGCCAGTATAGACTTGGGCTAAGGCTGGGAGTTATGTATGGCCCAGATCCTCATCCCCTCACTCGTATTGATTGACCACCTAAATACCTTTGAGGATCTGGATCTAAGTCCATTTTAAATATGGAATTTAGGCTCCTAAGTCACTTAGACATTTTTGGAAAATTTGCCCATTGTCTTATTTGAAACTTTTAATCAAAATTAAGAAGTGCAAAAGCTAAGATGATCCCAGGACAATTAGCTCAGCTATGTTGCACATATGCAGTATTTACCATTTCTGATTTTCTTGTTGTTTGTGCAGAATTATATATCATAACTGATGTATGTATAATGTATTTTGTGCCATAAAGCTTATTGTGTGGACAGCAGGGCCAAGTTAAAATTGATATTGGAACTTTAATTCTTGCAGTGTTTTATATGTCCAGCCATAATGCTGGATTAACGTAACTGTTTGCATCTATTATCTGTATTCTCTATCTATAGACAGAAAGATAGATAGATATACACACACTTTAGAAAAGTACATATAATTCCAATTGACATTAATAGGAAGTTTGTGCAGTCAAGAAGAATAAATCCCTTACAGCCAAATTCTGCCCTTGGATACATGTGCAGAGCTGACAACAGTATATGTTGACTACGGGCATATTATTTCTGATTTGTGTTTTTAAGCATGGTTGGCCTACATTTCTGCAGAACTCAGAAAAATTGCTTTGGAACGAGGAAGATGGTTTCTTGACATGATACAATTCATGCCTGAACATTTTTTGCTTGTACTCAATATAATCTGTTAAAAAATCGAATATACTGTGACATAAAATCAAACTAAAGCATAACAAGCTAAATGAGCAAAAGGCATCCTGCCTTCCTTTTCAGGAGGTATAACAATGGTAAGTAATGGTGCTTTGTCACCTTTATATCATCATTCAGAAATGGATAGGCTTGCTTTGCTTGCAGCCTCCAGTGCAATACAAGAACATACTTCTTATGGGCATGGGGGCTGGGGAGGTGCTAAGGTGAGCAACTAGCAAGTGTCAAATATTGGGACAATTTTTTGAGGGGGGAGGGGGACAGTAGTTGCTTACATAAGGCAAAGTTCGTGATATTGCAATAGTCCCAATAATATCAGTATGTCATGTCTCCCTAGGAGATGCCTGAAGGTGGCTAATGACCTTAGCGCTCTTCTGATCTTCCAGTGGCTGTTGTACACTGGGCCAGTCTCTGGTATTAGCCTGACTTCTGCAGGGTATCAACAGCAGCCAGGGTGGGATCAGTGAAGCATAGGGGTGTTCTAGCCATACTCCCTCCCTAACCTATTTCCCTTACTCCACTGGGAGGAGGGATGGTGCATAAATTGCTGTCCCAGCTCTTGCCTCTGAGGGATCTTCCTGCAACCATCTACTCCAACTCTCAGGCCTTTTTGCACCCTCATATGTAGTATTCAGAAGGCAAAATAATGGCTTGTCTTCCAGCCAATCAATATGCAGAAGTTAATTAAAACCAGGGAAGCTGGCCATGTTCCCTTTGGGGCCTACTATGATTACGAGAACTAATTCAGCGGCTAGCACTATGGGGCAGGGAGGAATTAAGTGCCAGTGCCCTTTCTCTCCCTGTACCTGCAGCTGAGCCAAAGGCCCACAGTGGAAGAGCTGCGTGAGAAAAAGATCCTCATCCGCTTCAGTGACTACGTGGAAGTGGCGGATGCTCAGGACTACGACAGGAGGGCGGACAAACCCTGGACGCGACTCTCCGCCGCCGACAAAGTAAGCCTGGCAACCTTACGGTGAAGTAGCAGAAAAATCTGTGTATTGATCACAAGGTTCTTTAACACTGGTGTAACACAGCACAGTGAGCAAGGGCCTAACCTCAGTTCAGTCTCCCTCCAAAGCTGTGTAGGAGAGAGATTATAATGCCTGGTTTACCCATCGATTTTGTACCTGCATAACTATGCTGGTTAGGAATAGGATTTAATTAATATAGTTACGCCAGAGCATGCCCTACTGTGGATGCAGATATACCTATAGAAAATAGTTTGTATCTGTGTGACTTACTCCCCTTCCTACCGAGGAATAAACTATACTGGGGTAACTACTTTTATACTGGCATGTAACTTCATCAGTATCAGAGGGACTGCACAGGTTTATCTACAGCTGTTTAGTTAAGTTAAAATAGAACAACTTTTGTATGTAAGACAAGGCAGGACTGGCCCACAACATTTTGGCACCTGAGGCGGGAGCTCAAATGATGCCCCCGTGTCCCCTCACTTGGGCCAAAACTTTGAAAGATCTCAATTCTCTGGGTCCTAGTGGCGCCCCCTACAGTCTGGCACCTGAGGCTACCTCCTCAGTTCACCTCATGGTAATGCCAGCCCTGAGACAAGGCCTAAGAGTGGCCGGCTGGAAGGTAGAGGGTGAAAAGCTTTGAGAGGGAAGTGACCATTCAGGCTTGCAGAGCTGTGGTGGACCCCAAGCTGGTGAATTTTCTGTTCCTGTTTTGCTAATGTTAATTGATTTTGTTTTCTTGTAAATGTTGAGCCTCATTTACCAATTCCAGTAAACCAGGATGAATTGCAATGAAGTTGGAGGAGTTACACTGGTATAAAATCAGCATTAGAGGGGACTGAAGGAAAGACCTTGCTGACTGCCCCTATAATTGTGTGCGTGTGTGTGTTGGTTGTGCTGAGCAATTCTGATGGTTTATGGATGGGGAGTTCCTTATAAGCAAGGTTACACATGGTTCCAGGAGACCGAACTAATGAACCAGTGCTGCAGTGGCACTCAAATTGTAGTCACATAACTAATCCTTGCAAAATGTCAATGGATAAAATTGTCAAAAGCATCTGTCCTACAGAAAGCCATTGGGACTCATTTGTTTTTGAAATTTTTACCCAGTATCTTTATCTTAAGACAGGGAGAGAACATGATTTTGGATCACTTGATGATTGCCCTGTTCTGTTCATTCCCTTTGAAGCTTCTGGCATTGGCCACTATCAAAGACAGGATACAGGGCAGGATGGACCATTGGTCTGACCCAGCAAGGCCATTCTTCTGTTATGTTCTCTCTGGCTCCCCAGAGGCTTTTTAACCACCTAATTATTGATGTACCATATATATATATTGAGGAAAACAGTTCTCTGTATCTCTCTGTATCAAGTGCACCTTCTTTTGAGTGTTAGTGAAGTTTGGCACATCAGTTCTTCCTGTATTCTAGCGCCAGACTGAGTCTATGGCGGGAACAATCAGCAAAGGGCTTAATGTCCTGACATTGTATGAATCCTTCTGAGGTTGCAGAAGGAAGGTGGGCTGTACTCACAGTTCAGGCTGCTTCCACTTGTTTCTTTGTCCTGTCCTGTAGAGTGTAATATCTATCTCAAGTAGAGACAAGCTGATAGCATCCCCAATGTGAGGAAGAGCGATTTAAATTTTTTATTGAGAGTCACAAGACTTTGGGCCTGAGAGAGGATGTGTAGATCTGTGACAGAAAAGGTGCAGAAAAGTGCTAAGGACCAATATTAAAAAGAAAGTAAAGAAAAGGAAAACAACCATGAAAAAATGGCGCCTTATTTATGATGTATATAGAAGGCCAGCCTGTATCACTGAATTCTTGTGGCCTCTGAACTAGACCTCCAGCAAAATAGAAGAAACAAGGCATGACATTCCTTCTGCAGATATAAGGGAGCAAAAAAAAACCCATATGCCCAAATCTGTTTTCCCCTTTTGAGATTAGGCCCTATGGCTAGTATCCTGATTGCCAGCATCTACAGTTCCTGCTCTTCCACATCACCATTTGCATCATTTAAACAAAAAATAGAAAAACAAATTGGAGCCAGCTCTGAGAATACCTGGCAAAACCAAAACTCCCCTATTGAAGATTATTCCCCTACTATTCAATAATGGGCCAGGATGAAGATTTATTGCAAAAATACATTTTTTGAATGGGGTTTCCAAGTGACTCCTGCTTTCTGCATGCTGGGTATATGGAATTGTGTTCAGTCTAATGTCATCTTTACCACATGTAAGAATGTAAGGAATAAGAAGGGCACATTGAAATCCCACCCTTAGATCAGGAATCCATGGAGTAATAGATTTCAGACCTTGTAGGAATCAGCCGCCTGTGTGGGCCCTTCCTGTCATTTACACAGCACATCAGTCTGCTGAAGGCAGGCCCTTGAGCTGCTGCATAAACAGTCATTCTTTTCAGCCAGAGATGAAGCACAAGCGGACAGTCATTTCTAATGTAAATAAAACAACAGTGCTGTATTTGAAGAGCACAAAGGATGCAGTTCTGTAGCCCATGCAAAGAGTGGCACTTACAACTATCTAGATCACAGGCAGTGCTAGCCCATTGGGGTCCCTTGGCAGGAATATTTTGGGCCCCCCAACACTTGCTAAAATGTAATAGGAGGCCCTTTAAACTGCTCAGCTCTCTAGGCAACTGTTAGGCTATGTCTACTCTGTGCACCTGACAATGGCACAGCTGTACTGCTGCAGCTATGCCATTGTAAGATGCACTGTATAAGCTTCTCTTTGAGGCTGGGAGAGAGCTCTCCTGGTGACCAAATAAAACCTCCTCCAGCAAGGGGTGGTAGCTTTGTTGCTGACAGTGCAGCTCCCATTGACAAAACTCTGCCCACACTGGTGCTCTTCATTGTTAAAACTTTTGTTGTTTGGACCAGCGGTTTTTTCACACCCCTGAGCGACAAAAGTTTTAACAATGAAGATGCCAGAGTAGACGTGGTATTAGCCTGCTTATGCCTAGTGTCAGCTCAGGTCTAGATCAGTGGTTTTCATTGTGTGGCCCATGGACCACTAGTGGTCCACAGCCATCTTGGGGCACAGCCCACATACACACAGTGGGGATCTTGGCTCCAGTCCCATGGCCCTTCCCACGAAGTTGGAGCACCAGCACCGGCTTCCTGCTGTGGAAGGAGAGGGGCAAGTTTAGCAGGCCGGCTCCAGCTTGTGGAGGAAGCAAGTGGCTCTGTGTGCTGCCACTCCCCTTCCCTCTCCCCACAGCAGTGGGAAAGACAGTGCAGGAAACTGCCCTTCCCATCATTCCCAGCCTCCCCCGACTGCTTTTATTGGCCATAATTCCAGCAAATGGGAGTAGCAGGAAATGCTTCCAGTTAAGCAGAGCCAGATAAGTGCCCTCCATCCCCCTCATGCCCATACCCTGCACCCCCATTCTCCTGACACACCCCTCATATCAAGATCACGCATGCCCACCCTGCTCCTGCACCCTTGCCCCTGACCAGACCTCGCACACCCACTGCACCCCACCTCCATACTCAGACTCCCCTCCCCCCAGCCCGCTCCTGCACACAACTTTCTGGCCAGACCCTCCACACCCTCAGCCTGCTTCTGCACCATACCTCCCACCCAGACCCTCCGCCCCAGCCCTGCTCCTGCATCATACCTCCCAGCCACCCCCACCCTCTCTTACACCCATTTTGTCATCATGGGTAGGTGGCTTGTGGCTCACAGAAAGGTCTGTGTTGAGCAGGGTGGGCCACAGTCTGCAAAGTTTGAGAACTACAGGTCTAGATGAAGGCAGTTTGCATTAGGATAAATCACACTGGCACATCTCCCCTTTTGCAGTGGTATAATTTATCTGTATTAGGGGATTAAACTAGTGCAGATTTCCATAGACATAACCCCTGCTTCTATGAGTAGCACATACGGGTGGGACTACTCTCACAAATAAAAGGTTTCATAATCTGGCAGCAAGGTAGAGGCATAAACTAATAAAACCAACCAAAAACAGAAATAAGAAAGTCAAAGTTAAAAGATTTTAGCTCTTGGGCTAGAACATCCACCGTGAGCCTGCTGGGAGGCCAGACATACTCTTCATTCTGGGCCCAACCCTGACCCATGGAAGTTGTGGGATTGAGATTTGGGTGCAATGCCATCCAGTTCCTCTAGCTATTTTAGGGTGTGGTGCTATTTCTGTCCCTCGGCTTGTGCCATCTCTTGCTAAGGGCTCTTTTTCACAAGGAATCGTTTTAAATATATAATGAAGCAGTCCAGACTAGAAACTGTGTTTGGCTCCAGGATCAACATGTCTCCCTGGAAGTCAGTGGGACTTAGGACCTTTTGAAAACGTTTCCTTTTGCAGCAGTTATTCATGCCTTCTTTAGCACTTCCTCATTGGAACTTGCTATGTCCTCTACATAGGGACCACCCTTGGAGATCACTCTGAATTGTCTGCTGGTACAGAATCCAGCCATCTACCTTTGGAGCAACAGGCCAGTGTGAGCTTCCAATTTGCTGTGGGTGCAATTTAAGGTGCTGGCATCTCTTATTTCTTGTAAGCGCTGCTGCAGCACTTCTGTTTGACTGGAATGTTCCTGCTGCCTCTTCCAAAGCTTGTTTTGATCTTTTTGTTTATTTGCATACTTACTGGTTTCTTTGTTATTTGCAGGCAGCCATTCGAAAAGAGCTGAATGAATTTAAAAGCACTGAAATGGAGGTTCATGAATTAAGCAGGCATCTAACAAGGTTGGTTGAGACTTTTCTGATTGCTTGTTTCAAGACTGACAATGAATAGCACTGATTTCCATATCGTATAGGGAGCCTCTTTTCCAAACATGGACACGCTAACTACATAGCCATACTCAAATGGCATTCACAATCAGCCCACCCCTCCTGTCAAGATTACAGGCTTGTGTGCAGATGTGTGTCGTCTCTCTAACAACTTTGAATCCATTTTCTTATTTTGCTCATTTAGCAGGCTGGTCATTTTGCATTTCACTTATCCTGGTATCTAAAATAAATGGTGTTGGTGTCTGGAAGGAACGGAAAGCAGAAAGGTTCTAACAACATTTCCTGTTGCGGAGTTCAGGCATGGTAGGGTGCTAATGTACTGCAATGTGAACACAAATCGTATGGAGTGCTCAGGTCATTCTGTTATTAATCCCCGTGTTTCAGTTCTTTCCATTGGCAATTTAGGAAGAAATATCAAGCTCAGCATTATAACTGGCACCAATTTATATATGAATAGGCAGAGTGGGCAGAAAAGTGTGGACCGAATGAGCCAAGAGACTGAACTGACACTCTCATACATAACAATTCAGCGTGGAGGCACATCGGAGGATTGAGACGCTTGCCTTACCACTGTGCCTGCTGCTTCTCTTCTGTCATTGTCAGAGCTGTTCATGCCCTGGAAGTCCAGTGAAAGTTAGTGAGAGCTGCGGGTACTCAGCACCTCTGAAAACTACCTGGTTATTAAAGTGTTATGCTAGATTCACTTACATTTATTTTTCATTGATTTTTTTTCCAGTAACACCACCCCTGCCATGCATTGTCTGTGTGTGGAATTATTTTTGTTATGTGATACATCACCCCCATATTGGTGCACCTAGCAAAAGTCATGTCACACATGGACAAAAAAAAATAGAGGGAACACTGCTTAAGGCTGAATTAATTCTGCATCATGTAGCTCTTTTATTTATATATATTTTATTATATATATATTTATATATTTGTGTATTTTATACACGCATTCATTTGCAGACGTGATGCGCCAGCTAGCATCACATTAATTGATTTTTAAAGGTGTGGAAAAAGGAGCCAAAGAGGAACAAATAAGAATGCCCTGTGTGTTTGTTTGGAAGAGACAAGAAGCTGTCTTTGACTCATGAGGTCGTAGACCCATTCCAGTTCAGTATATGTACATAACAATCCATAATCCTAATATTTTTACCTCATGTTTTCATTAGGGTTGAGTTTGTCCTGCTAAATTCAGCCTCCAGTTGTGTGATACCTATAACTGGTTAAGGTTTTAACAGGTGCTAAGTGCCCTCAGCTTCACTGAGCAAAACTAATGAGATCAAGCATTACGTCTAGAAACACGTGGCTCTTTCGCTTTGAGTCGTGAAAAACTTCTAACCCCCAGTGTAGCTGCAGCTAGATTAGCAGAAGGATTCTACTATCCAGCTACTGCTTTTTGAGGGGATGGATTTATTACACGAGTGGAAAAACTCCTTCCATCGCTGTAGTAAGTGTTGCCACTACAGAACCACGCCGGCACAGCTGCAGTGCACTTGTCGTGCAAACTTATCTGTGAATCTTAGCAATTCTAGTGTCTGTGTAAGCCTTCTTTCAGTTTGGCTCATGTGGGATTGCACCCAGAATTTTGTTTTATTTCCAAATCTTGAGGAGACCATTCATCTGAAATCACTCACATTTTGTCTGATTTCCGTTTGAATCCTGAAACTAGTTCTGATTTATTCAAATCTAGGCTTGGATTTACTGAAAGCTAAGCCCATCATAATTGAACTTGGAGAAAGGTTTGTCTAAAGTTCAACAGGATTGGTTGGATCTGTTTGTCTAACCAAAAAAAATCTACATAAATGAAACACAAATAAAAGAGAGTAATTCTTTTAAACTCAGAGACGTCACCATTATAAAATCATTTAGCAGAGTAATGATCTATATTGTCATTAAGATAATGACATATATACATGTAAAGAATCTGAATGTTGCTTTTCTAGAGGGAATTGATGATAGAATCAAAGACCAACACTTTACAAACAAACATGTATGATTGGAAACAAAAGCCACTGAACACATTGCAAAACAGTCCCTGCAGAGAAGCTGCAAATTTAACTTCAGATGCGTCTTTAAACTTAAACATTAATGAATAATACTACTTTGCATATATGTAAAGTCTATTATTTGAAGATCTGAGGGCTTCCCTGCACATGAAAGTTATTCTGAGTAAGATAAGCTGTGAATTTAAAGCTGAATAGCTTTTTTAAATAACCACATCAGCACTCTTTTTCTGGAATAATTGGTGTGTAGAGAGGTTCTAAAGATCTGATCCAGAAACTTTCATTGACTTCAGTAGACCTTGGATCAGAGGGTGTTTCTCAACTTTTTTTTTATGAAGTACCCCTTTAAAAAAAAAAAAAATAAGTACCCCCAGTACCTACACTTTTCAGACACACACAATTTTTTTCTACCATTGCAACACGTTTGTTTAAACAACTTAATCGTAGCCAGGCGGGCGATGAAATTGTTGGGTGTAAAAAGTACAAAAATAACAAAACGCTGTAAAACTTAAAACAAGCATTCAGTTTTTTCCAAATTTCAGTTTTCACATACCCCCAGACTTCTCTTGAGTACCCCCAAGGGTACTCGTCCCACTGGTTGAGAAACACTGGATTAGACCCCTTAAAGAATCATAACAATTTGGTGAGTTTGGTAAGTATTAATGATGCTACACCCATTTTTTTCAAATGGATAAATTGAGGAACTGGGAAGATTAAATCACTTTTCCAAGGTCATACAGTGAGTCGGTAGCTGAGCTGAAAACAGAGCCCACTAATCCTGGTGTCCAATGCTCTTGCCCTAAACCATTAAATAATGCCACCTGTTGATGGCATATAATATGTTTGTGAGAACAAGTTTGTTGCAAAGTGCTGAATTTTTCATTTATCCTCTTTCTTTTAGGTTTCATAGACCGTAGCAGTTCAGTCCTACTTGACTATTATGCCGTCTTTAAAACCTAAAAAGAACCGTAAGTGCTGGCATTATTCACTTCCTGTTACGTACAATGTAAATCATCTGAACTGCCTTTTTAAAATAAATAAATTAAATAAACAAATGAAAATAAGGGGGGAAGCAAGATAGAAATTGTACTTACGTGTGATGGGTACTGCTACATCATCAGATCTTCTGGCACAAGCTTCAATAATACCCCTGGTGGGAACCATACCAAGAGCTGGCATCTATGCTTATGACTTCCTGGCATGTGGATTCACCATATTTGTCCAAGCCCAGCTGGAAATGCATCCGTTCTGTCTTTACTCAGCCGGCATCCTTGCAGGCATCTGTCACCTGACTCCAGAGAAAGCTGAGGCACTTGGCAGTGGTCTGGGAATGACTGTGCTGGGTGAAGTGTCCCAAGAGGCCTGCAGGCGTGTTAAAGCACGCTTAGTCCAAACACGTCTTTCCATCTGTGAGCACCTCAGAAGGGGGAGGAGAGAGGAGGACTGCTCTAAGGACCTGCCCACTTTTGGAATACAAAGAAATTTACTTTCCATGGAGGAATTTGTAACTGGTTGATCATCATCATTCTGGTTCACAAGGACAGCATTCCTTCCTGAAGGCTGGTTTTGCTCAATCAACTTCATTTTCCACACCGAAGTAGGACTCCACAAACATTAAGTCACAACAATATTGGGACAAACAAAAGGCACTTTGTGTAGTCATTCCTACCTGTGCCTGGTGCTCATCAAGGGTGTGTAGAGCACAATCAAATCAGAATAGCTGTGTTTGCCATCCAGTTCACACAAGTATAAGGCACCAGCGACTCAGGTCCAAGGTCTGGATTCCAATGAGGTAGCCATGAGATATGTATTATTCTGTATGCATGAGTGGGCGTGTAAGGGCCTGTGCTTCAGTCCTATTGAGAATGATCTTTTCTTCGAGTGGGGCCTGGTGTCACAAAAATATACTGATGCGCTGTGATGGCTGGCTCAGAATTGTCTCCAATGTTTAGAACCAAGGCAATTGGCAAAAGCCCAGAGGCGCTTTATAGAGGCGTGCTTTTAACTGGTAAAATGGCCACTTACAGCTCAGTATGGCAAGGGGTGATCACTCTCGCCATGACCCCGCAAAGCACTTCTGCCTGTGTTTAACTTGAATTAAACAGGGGAGTAGACACTTCGAAAGCAACAAAATAAATCGGATGCTTAATTAACATCAAGCAGATGCTGAAGGGCTTTGCTGGGTCAGAGCCAGAGGGTTCAACCCATCGCAGCCCGGATGCTGGATAAACCTGACAAGCTGTGAACAAATGCCTGTGATTCCATCCCTTATTGAGAAAATATACTACTGCCTTCTACAAAAATGGTCCAAGATGCTGAAGGGACATTTCTGTACGTTGCAGTGTCTTAGACCATGCCTGTGGAATAGTATCACACGTGGTTTTTTTTATTATGCCTGTTGTTTGGCTTTTGAAAGTCTGTGCAGGGAGGCCTGTGTTTTCTGGCACAGCAGTATCCTTTGCAAGAGTTTGTACGTACGCAACCACTCGCATTTCCTCCCTCCCATTTTTACTTCCCTGGAGTACCTGAGTCAAACAGTGCCCATGCCCACCATGGATTTCAAACTAGTAACTGGAATCATTGGGAGATTGTTTGAACAGGTGTATAGTATGTGCCCAGTGATATGCAGAGCACACTCCGCTCCTCTTGGACCTTTTTCTTAGTCCACTTGCACTGGCGTAAATCAACAGCAACACTGTGTAACTCAGTGAAGTGCATCTGTATAAAGCCCATGTCAATGACATAAGCAGGATACCTATTGGCTTCATTAAAAACTGAGGCTGGTCAGTGCCTGCCAGGATGAGGTTACCAGGGTGACTTGTGAGTGGGCATTTGGGGAAGACTGAATGTCTGTTAGAGGACGGAGGGCATTAATAAGAAAGCAAAGAGCTCCTCAGCCATTTCCACAGGAGCCAAAATACGGACCGTTGCCCTCTGGCTTCATTTCTATTTGAGGGACTAGGTCTCTGCAGTTATTATCTAGCACTTAGTGGTGTTGCAATAGCCTGAAAATAAAAGTGTTTCCTGTAAGCCCATCACATACACAGGACATACTTGCCTGGACTTGTCAAAAAAAATAATCCCAATATACTCTGGAGAAGAAGATTTATCTTAGAGGCCACCCTTCTTTTTGTATAAGTATGGTCTGCCAGTGTCTGGTCTGACTGACTTGATTACAGGACATTGCAGATTAAATTTAGTGGGGAAGGACAATGCAGTTCCTCCGACAAGAGTTCACCAGCAGTGAGAACCCAACATTCAGCATTATCAGCATGGGGCAGGAACAGCAGAGCAGGTATTCACCACGCACGTATTGCTTCAGGGTGGTTGTTTTTCCCCTGAAATCACAAGTGTGCCAAATACCAGATTCACACACACTTGGCTGGCACAGAGAAAACAAAGGTCTTGGCATATGAACGTGCATGTCGCATTATGAAATGGCCCGGGGACGTGGCTGCTTCAAACAGCTGCAAGCCCCAGGATTCAGAACGTGGCCTCCCACAGCTACCCACTTGCCCTGGCTGTGGTGAGGTTGAGCTGTGCGGGGGATGGGGCTGAGGCAGCAGGAGTGACTGAAATCACAGTGTTCAGAATGTGGGAGCTGGTGGGAGCATTAAGGAAAAGGTGCGTTTGGGTTCCTTGTTAAACAGGAAGAATGAGAGGCTGAGATAAAGGGATCGGCATCCAGCTTTTGCCATCCCTGCAGCTCTCCCAGTTAAAGCCCAGCTGCTAATGAAGGAGCCCACATGGTAGATGACACTCTAGCACTACAGCCTGTCCCTGGTGTGTCGGGGCCCTGCTGCAACCCGCCAGTGGCCCTGCAGGTCTGGCAGCCTGAGTGAACTGCCCCTGTTCAGTGGTTTTCTAGCTTACAGGAGAGTCCTGGCATTGGGTAGTGGTCTCAGTATTACCAACAACCATGCGGCTGGAGATAAAGGCCAAATCCAGCTTCCACAGAACTCCCAGAAAGTCCCTCCTCCCCCAAGATTTGTTCTGCCCTGTCTGCACTGAGACAAGATGTGGAAGGCGCTTGAGGTACTATTCCATTTGCCTGATATTCTAACAGAAACTGCTGCTAGTCCACTCTAATCTGAAACAGTGTTCAGTGGAACTGCCCTATTCCTCGTGATCTGCAGCTACCTCACATTGGTGAGGACTCCAGGTGAAATGCCCATCTTAGCAGCAGCAAACAGCCCATGCTGCATAGCTGGCATTACTTCTCCATGTTTGCCTAAGGATGTTTGGGTGTTTAGTAGGAGATGGTCACTGGCGTGACATCTTCCCAAAAGGTAACTGGGTGACTAAACACAGCATGGTGCCCCACTTTGCTTACATAACTCCTTTTGACTTGCGTAGAAGTTTAAGAGCAAAATGAGAACAGACTATTTTTTTAAATAAATGTGTATTTTCTGCAGAAGTGTGAATGCTTTTCCCCTCAGATAAGTCTGCTACAGCCGTGTCCACATGGCACTGGACTTGGTATTCCATCTGAAACAAGGAATACGCTTTTAAAAAAACTTTGATCAGGTAGAGCCCATAATAAAGCAGAAATGTTTTCTACTGAGCATTCAGTCACCAGCCACAAGTTTAATTTGTATTAGAAATGTATAATAGCAGCACGCATATCACTTCAGCTGGTTTAAAGAAACAAAAAATAGGTTGGTCAGAGCAAAATTTGCGTGCACCCATCACTGATTGCGGGAGCTAGATAGAGGGAAAATGCCAATGCTGAGAAAAGAAAATATACTGGTAATAACGAATCACTGGTGTTAATGTTTGCAAGGTATAATGCCACATCTGCTCAAGTACTTATGGAAACATGAGAGGGAAACTGAAAGAGAAAAAAAGCGAAGAATGGTGGTAAAAATAATCATCAAACTTCTATCAAATGGGTTGCTTAGTTTGAGAAAGTAACACAAATTGCTGACACCTCTATTTCCCCTATCCCCCGTGCCAGAAAAAGTGTGTAATGGAGCTGAGTGTACTACTCATAGTAAACAATGCACAAAGCATTATCCATTTCAGATGTGAGTATGTTTCAGGGTATAAATCTTTTGGGGGCAGGGCCTTTGTGCGTCTGGTGCTTCAGACGCGCTACCAGGAAAAGCAGTGAATAGTAGTAATAGGCTTCTCTTTATTTCTCTATTTATTTGTAGTTGTTCAGTGAACCTTTGAGAGGCTTCAACCTCAGGGTTACACGCCAGCACTTCACTTTATCATTGATTATTCTCTCTTCATCAGGTGTGATTGGTCACCTGAATAACATGTTACTGCTTCTGCATGCCAACTGGACTGCTGAAACTTTATAAACAGGAGGAAAGCACTTCCAAAATGACCAGCAAATATTTGCATTCACACACAGATATCCATGTTCACGTGCAAATAAGGTTACGACACTCAGATCAACTGTTCCCCAATGTTCTTACAAAGAAACCCACTTTTGTACAAATATCTGTGGGTGAAAACTTGGCCAACAGAAATGGTTGCAAATGATCTTTCCCACTGCTCACCCAGTGAAGGGCACACTAACTGCTTTTCCATGTATCTTGCATACTCCAGAATCAGGTGCATCTTCCAGCTGATATCCAAGTGTATGTACATAGTGTGTCTTTGTATAGGAGTGAATGTGGTGACTGTCAATCATGTGCTCTTCCAGTATTGTAATTTAACAGATTATGGCTGTATGAAAACAATGTAAATAACTAAAAGAAAAATAAAACTGGATCTCTATGTCCTAGATTTTGTACATACTGAAACTGCATGGTATTTAAATTATTGTTTGTCGCTAATGTATGCAGTTTCTTTAAAAAAAATCATTTTAAAAAAACCTTTCCTGGTCCTGTGTATTTTATTCACCTTCTGTTCTATTCTTTGCCAGATATTGCCCAAAAAAATGTACTTTAGCTATCAGCCCTGCTAGGGAGTTGTAAGCACGTAATACCCAACAGTTTTTGGTCTGTCAGGGAAAAAGGAATGTAATCAGATGGTGTAACTTGGCATGGTGCTACTGACCGCAGTGAGCTACACCAGTTTACATCAACTGAGCATCTATGGGAAGGCCCAGCAAAGATAACTGAACAGTGAGCTACACCAGTTTACATCAACTGAGGATCTATGGAAAGGCCCAGCAAAGATAACTGAAGACGACTGGCTGTTCACTCTGCAGCTGCAATTGTCACAGCCCTCCATCTAGTATTCGTTGGTCTTCGCTACAGAAAAATCCCATGCAGCATGTGAATTTCATGTGTTTTGCTTTTCTTTGAATGCCCATTGCAGGAGTAACATCTGTAGTGGTCTGCCCCTTCTGGCAATCTTACAAGCACAGAAGTTTGGTGGATAGTATTAGAACAGATTTTTTTTTTTAATCAGACAAAGCGCAATCAAGAGCATCCACAGCATCCCCAAACGCTCATTACAGTTTAGCAACAGCCAGGAAAAAAGAAATGCTCCTTCAGGCTCTTGCAAACAGAGAGCTTCTGCTCCTCTTTCCTTTTCTCCAAGTGTCCGTATCCTTTATAAAGGGTGCCAGCTTGCCAGCACCGGAGCAAGGAATTTCCAGTCTGTGAAGGGAGAACAACTTGAGGTGCTGAAGTACAAGTTTCCCCACTCTTCATTACTGATGATCTCTACACAGGTGTGAAGGTAGCTCGATCACCATATCCATTCAGTGCAGGGTAATTTGTGGTGGGAACTAGTGTCCCCAGAGAGCTGGCTTAAAACTATCAAGGATAAAATTCACAAAGGTATTTAGACACTGACCCATTGTTTTAAGCCACTGAGATTCTTAAAGCTGATTCAGTTGCTGCCTTGCCCTCTAGGCACAACATGTCCCTGAGTTGGCTCAGTTTGCACCAGTGGGCATACACAAAACTGCCCAAGTCCTGACCATACCAAGCTTCTGAGCACTGCAGCAGGCCTAAGGCCTGGTGGAATTCTCCAACTAGGTGTTGGCCTGTCTTGCCTGCAGGGCTTGATTCAATAGGCATCCTCACCAGCACGAGACACAGCCAGCAGGGTCCAGATGGCATGTGTACTACCCTATCCAATAGCTGGGTGCTCACCTGGGATGTGGGCCACCTGTTTTCAAATCCCCCTGCTGCCGCACTGGGAGAGTGACCTTAGCTCCCAGCCTACTGGCTTGCCTGGCTTTTGAGACTCATGTTTAGGAATCCAAATCAAGGCTATGAATTCCTCTGGGTAGCAGGACACTTGACAGGCATTTGCTTAGCTCCCTATGACAAATTCAACAAGGCAGCTCTGGGTAGTTCAGCTAGCTCTAATCAGCCACTATCTCCTCAGGGGCTGTTGGGAGTGGCAGGGGGCTGGCTGGAGAGGTCTCCTGTGGAAGGGAATGGTTGCTGCTGATGCTTTTTTCTGAGGCTGGCTCAGAGATAGCTTGGAGTGAGGAGCAGGACAAGGAGCAGAGGAAGGCTGACTGGAGCATGAGAGCTGCGTATTGGAGAGATTGACGGACCATTGGCAATGAAGGTACTGAAGTGGGGAGAGTTTGGGTGTAAGCTGGGCTTGTCTTCCTTTAAAGCGGAGGTGGGCAAAATCCAACCTGGGGGCTGGATCCAGCCCACCAAGCATTTCTCTCTGGCCCACCCATCTGGTTGGCAAAGCATGCATACTCACAACCCTAGCAGCGTGTGTTCAGCTGACTCTCCCCTGGCGCTGCTCCTAGCATTTATAGAATCTGTCTGAAGACTTGCAATGTTCTGTCTCCTCTCTTCGCCATGTGTGTGGCTGTCAGCTTTGCTAAGCAATGACCTGTCCTGGTGACTCTGCCTTTGTGGGTTTTAGTCCCACATTGGTGTCTGAGTAACTCTCAGATGCACCAGGGTTTGCTCTCTAAAGAGCCAGGTGGCCTTGGATTGCTCAGGTAAAAGCGACCCTTCTCTGTGTTTTGCTGATCCCCTGGCCTAAGTCACCCACTCTCAGTTCTGCTGTCTCCTCTCTGTTGCTGAGTTCTGAAGCAGACCACACAGGGCAATTCAGCCAGGGTTTTCCAATGCCCAGGTTTAAAGCAATCTTTCTTTATGAGAAGGAAAATAAAAGGGAACATGAATTTACTCTGGCTGAGCAGTAATACCACACAGGGCAATTCAGCCAGGGTTTCCCAATGCCCGGGTTTAAAGCAATCTTTCTTTATGAGACGGAAAATAAAAGGGAACATGCATTTACTCTGGCTGAGCAGTAACATTTCACCCCAAGGCTGTGTCTAGACTGGCCAGTTTTCCCGGAAAATCAGCCGCTTTTCCGGAAAAACTTGCCAGCTGTCTACACTGGCCGCTTGAATTTCCGCAAAAGCACTGACTTCCTACTGTAAGAAATACTATTTGTGGAAATACTATTCTGCTTCATTTCGGGCAAAAGTCCCTTTTGCACAAAACTTTTGTGCAAAAGGGCCAGTGTAGACAGCTCAGATTTGTTTTCCGCAAAAAGCCCCGATTGCGAAAATGGCGATCGGGGCTTTTTTGCGGAAAAGTGCGTTTAGATTGGCCACGGACGCTTTTCCGCAAAAAGTGTGTCATGTGCTGCTTCCCCCCCCCCTTTTTTGCAAGTGCCAGGGTGCCCTGTAAGGCTTGTGCCGCTTGGTTTCGGGGGGAGGGTTGACTGCCCTTCGCACACTGCACCTGCCTCACCTGTCAGGTCAAGCAAAGGGAAGAGGATTGGATGCCACCTATTTCCTGTACAACAGTGAATACCTGGGGAAGGGAGAAGGCAGGGCAAAGGAGTAGTATCGGGAAGACCAGGAAATAGTGAAAGGATGGGGTGGGGTGGGGATCAGTGGGGAGGGATGGTGGATGGGTAAAAGAAGGAAATCCAGGAGCATGGGCCTGGTATGTGGCGTCCCTGCAGCACCAACCCCAGAACAAAAGCAGCAACCACTGGGGCTGCCCCATTAAACCGACCTCTCCTCCCAGCAGGTCACAGATTCTGACTTCCTCAGTTCCTTGAGGGAGTTCAACCCCTGCTCTGCCCCAGCTCCTGCCCCCAGGTTCCCTCCCTGCCTCCTCTTGCCCCTAATCCCCCTCCCTTCCCTCAGGTCACAACCCCCACTCCACTCCAGGATTTGGCCACAAGCCACTCCTTCCCCAAAACTCCTACCTCTGCCCCCTCTTCCTGCCCCGTTCCACCCCTCCCTCTGCATCTTCCTGCCCCATTGCTCCCCCACATGCTTCTGTGTGCCATTGAACAGCTGATTGTGGGAGGTACTGGGGGAGGGGGAATAGCTGATCCGCGTGGCTGCTGGTAGGTGCTAAGCACCCAGTATTATTTTTCTGTAGGTTCCCCTGGCCCAGATACCACTTCAAGCGGAGGAGCGGGGGAGAGTCAGTGAGCCCAGGGAACTGGCTTCACTGTGCGCATGTGTGCCTGTGCTTTGCTCTCCCTGCAGAAGTGCAGGGAGTGGCAGGGGAAGCCCCTGCACCCAGACCCCCGCCGAGGCCCTGCGACTGGAGGAGCTCTTGCACCCCACTGCAGCTCAAGGGCTTTGTGTGGGGACAGAGCTTCTCCAGTCTTGTGACTGGGAGGGGAGGATAGAAAGGAGTAAAAGGTGTAGTGAGGGACCCTGGGTGGAATAGGGGTGGGGTCCTGGGGAGGAGGCAGAAAGGGGCCATGGATGGGGCTGCAGGCAGAAGGGGTGGAATGGGGGCAGGACTGCAGGTGGAAGGGGTGTTCCCTCTAAGGTGAGCCCTTGGGTGGCCATTCAGGAGAGATTGCAGTGCCGCCCGGACTCCCACTTGCTCTGGCTCAGGACCCCAGGAAATCCTTCATCCACCTCTGGCAAGAACAGTGGGACAATGAAACAAACTGCCTAGGGAAGTCATGGAACCTCCTGCGCTGAAGGCTTTCACAAAAGAAGCTGAATAGTCCAGGGCAGCTAAGCCTCCCCTGACCCAGGCTACTGAGGTGCCTCTGGTTAGATGGAGGGGGGTGCTCAGAGCTCCTGTGGGTGGCAGACAGGATGGGCTAGGCTCCCTGAAGGGCCTGACACCCATGTGAATAGCCAGCTGTTTGGAGTGGTTGAGACAGAACAAGTCCTGCATCTTGGTAGGGGGTTACAACTAGATGATGACCCTTCTCACCCTATGGTTTTATTCTCTCTCATGGAGTAGTTCAGCCACACTGAGAACCAGCAATTAGAGAGTTATGACTCTGTGGGCATATCCCTTAACGCTGCATCCCTTGAGCCAGCAATTGCCTCAGCTCCCCTTAACGCTGCATCCCTTGAGCCAGCAATTGCCCCAGCTCAGGATATTAAATTGCGATTAATTGACTAGTCAAGTAGTTGATGGAATTTCCATCAACTAGTCGATAGGCACTTCCGCATTCCTCCTCTGACAGTACCTTTCAAAGGAGGAATGCAGAACTCTGCCTGCAGCCCAGGGCCAGGGGGAAGTCCCGCTGACTCCGGATGCACATGGGTGCCTCCTTTGAAATGTATATGAGTCCCCAGCAGGGACACTTATGCATTTCAAAGCCATGGAGCCCGGGGTCAGTGGGGGACTCAGAGTCCCCCACTGGCCCCGGGCTCCATGCTGCGCTGCATGTCACTAGGAGCCTGGGGTCAGCTGACCCTGGGCTCCACAGCTGCCCCTTTGAAATGCGTTTGTATCCCAGGCTCAGCTGTGTGGCACTATCCCTTTGAAACACCAAGGCAGCTGAGCTGTGGATCAGCTGTGCAGCACTGCCACTTTGAAGTACCCCGTCCTCCCCCCCTTTGCTGCCTCTATCTTATAGAGGCAGCAAAGGTGGGGAATCAACTAGTCAACAGACTATCTGCTACGCAAATGCTTATCAGATAATTGACTGGTCCTTAAC